CGCCTCACTGTTGCCTTGCCTCGAAAGGTGATCGTCGAGTAGAGGATGTCTTAGTAAGTCCTCATGATCCGGGAACCTGGCATGAGGGTAGCTTCTAAGGTGTCTTCCCATTGCTCTGGTGATCACCATGTCCCTAAACTCGAATTGACCCGAACACCTCCAATGGTGGTGCTACCTACCTCTCAATGGTGGGATGGCACTACTTTAAAGGACATTTACACAGACGAATTCCTTAGAGTAGGTAGGTTCTCAAGGATACTTGCTCTAATCTCAAAACAAACAAAAAAAAAACTTTTCACTAACACATTTTCAAAAGCTTTCAAAGCAAACTTTTCAAACACTCTGACGTACGAGTCGATCTGAAATTTTTCAAAGAAACTTTTTAAACCCACATTGAAAAGCAAACAAACATTTTTTGAAAACACATTGAGCAAGTATCTAAGAGCCCATGGATAACCATGGATAGAAAGGGTGCTAACACCTTCCCTTTCTATAACCTACCTCCCGAACCGAGAGCAATCTCTTTAAGGAATTTTTCTGTGCTTTTGTCCTTTCCATTTGGAGAAAATAAAAGACGGTGGCGACTCTTGCTTCCGCGACATTTCGCGAACCAGCGTTAAACAGTCAGTTCCAGATCCACCGATCACAGTTACCTTCGGTAAAAGATCTTAGACCCTTACAAAAAATTGCTAAGGTATCCTACAATGCTGCTTTCTATGACTACACGGTGACCCACGCCCGTTCCTTCACATCCAATGATAAGGCTTATTACCAATCAATGGTAGGATAGAAATATCTAAAGGAGGAGGAAATGAACAAAGACTTTTTGAGTAGGTAGAACGTTCGTAGTTACTTGCTCACAACCATTTTTCAAAACATCTCTCAAAACACACCAACACTTTCAAATGAAATATTTTCAAAATTCAACACTTTGTATGCATTCTTATAGAGACGAGAATCATTACAAAGTTTTCCTAAGCAAAGGAACTTTCAAAAACAATTTCAAATGAAATATTTTCAAAATTCAACACTTTGTATGCATTCTTATAGAGACGAGAGTCATTACAAAGTTCTCCTAAACGAAGGCACTTTTCAAAAATACTTTCAAAAACAATCACAAACACATTTAAAATAAAGCATTTCAAAGTGAGCTAGAAACTAAGAGCCTGTAGATAACTACAGATGAAAAGGGTGTTAAAACCTTCCCTTTTCATAACCTACCCCCCGAACTCAAGAAAATTCTCAAAAGGTCTTTCCTGTTCTTTTCACCATTTTCTTTATTAGATAAAATAAAAGTCAGTGGCGACTCTTTCTATCCGCAACAATTACGATAAAATGAAAAACACCCAAGTCAGTTCTCCCATCGAATCACAGAACTGGCGACTCTGCTGAGGAGATTTAAAAGTGGGGTTACCTTAGATACTATATCACCTTTAAATGATTTCATTGTTTTACTTGTTTGCTTTACATTTTGGGTCCATGTTTGGGTTTTTATATTGATCCTCTACCCGGATCGAGAACATTATTAGGTAAATAGAAAAAATTATGGAGATTGTACGATGTAAACCAATATAGTTGAGACAACAGTTATGTTAGTGTGACACATTTGTGGGTATTGGTATCCCTTGTGGTGAATCGAGGAGAATACGGGGCCGTTGTGTGGTGTCATGAAGCACTAATGAACCTTAGAACCTTTAATTGAACAACTTGGCCATTAGGAAGTAGTGAGATAGCCGGTTTCGGTGGAAAGCTGAAAATTGGTTGATACTAGATACTACGCTCATTGAGATCGGACTTTTGGGATATTTTGGCCGCAAGAAAAGATTGATTATGCTGAGACAATACCCAATGAAGAAAGATCAATGATATTGAGATTCCCTATAACCCAATTACTTTCTAGGACAGGTTGAATCAACTAAACTTCAAGAGGGTACTTACCTATGAACCCCATGCAAGCCTAAATCTAAGGACTTATTTTCTTTGTTTGTATATGTTCATTTGTACATAACATCATGACATCATACCCTAGCATTTTCAATAACCATTTCAAGGGTCTCAAGGGTCTGTGATGCAGGGTTATGTTGAACCAAACGTCTATCAAGGGGCAAGAGGATTTATTTTCCTCTAGCCAAATGTCGTAAAAAAGCCAAAGAGTCAAGGGCTATGACCCACTTGACATGGTGAGCATGATTCTTGTAGAAGGACATTCAACGATACGAAGTTCTCCTATCAAAGATGTGATCAAAATTCAACTACTAACATTTTCTTGTGTTTATGCCGCGAGATCCTTGGAAACGTTGCATCTACATATCATGCATCATATCATGCCAGGTTTTCCCCATACGGGTTTTCTCATCCGCTAGCTGTTTATTTCAGTAAAAATGGCTCTCGAGCAGACTATCCAAGATCTTCAAACCCAAAATGACCAGCTTCAATATTTGTTCATAAATTTATCCAAGTGGCAAGAAGAAGTAAAAGCAATCCTCATTGAGATCATAACCGAGAAGATTCCTGAAGACAACAAGGATGGTCAGTTGAAGCAATTACAAGCTGAGATAGCAACAATGAGAATCCAGATGTTGGAATAGATGGCTCTTATCCAAAACTTAGCTAGGGGACAAGAAGAGCTGAGAATTCTTGTCAACAAGATTCATTAAGACGGATGCAACCGTATGAAACAAACAGTTAAGATTAGGGATCAAGTCATTAATCAGCCCCCGATAAGACAAGAAGTTGGTTTGGTCGAGAGGACACCCTTTAAATTGGATACTACACCAAGAGTCCAACAACGATCTCGCCAACCATGATAGGGTAGCCAGTGTAAGCAAGATACGCTCAAAAGACAATTTACCGAGATCAACATGACCTTGGCTCAAGCATTGCATCATGTGTTGGAAGCCAAGCTGGTTGCATTAAGGGAGCCTCCTCAAAAACCTAATACTTCTTATCGCCACTATAAACATAAGGAAATATGTGTGTACCATTCCAACAGTCAGGGACACGACACTAATCATTGTTGGGCATTGAAGAACAAGATTCAAGACCTGGTCGACAAAGGAGTGCTGGAGTTTACACAAGATGGTCAACTGGAGTGTTTTTGTCACCCCGCAAAGACACACTATCTGAAGTGACAAAGTTTAGTTGGAGAAATTTTTGTTCATTTGAATTTCCAGTTGTAATTTCTTTGTTTTGTTTAAACATTTGTCCTTATGTCATACTTTTGTTGTTCTCATTAATACATTGAATATGTTTGTCTTGAGTTAATCCATTCGTTTTCACTATATTGAAATTATGCGTCTTTTCCACTTAAACATGTTTAACAAAGTTGTTAAGGTTGGATTAAAGGTTGAAATGTAAGAATTAGCTGAGTTTTGATGAGTTAGAAGTCACACTTTTGCCATGCTCATGGTGCACAAAATTTCATCTAATTTATTATCATTCACCCTCCCTTAGCATTGCATCATATTCTCCTATAAATAGAGACCTCTACTTCATTTTACAAGCTTTAGAGAGCCAGAAAACCATTGTCAAACTTCCTCCACACCTCTCAATTCTGCAACTTCGAATTTAATTTTACAGCACTTCCGGTTCTAAATTCTTGAGCTTTTCACCTTCATTGAACTTCTATGAAGCTAACCACATCAAAAACAAGCCAAATCATCTATTGAATCGAGCTATCCAAGTCCAATTTCAGAGCAAAATTCTCTTACTTCATTCCGGTAGAATTCTCTATCATTTTACTTCAAATAAATTGCTAAGATGTAGTCTCTTCTTCTCTGAAACCCATGCTTCTTCTGGTTTGTGATTTCATGGAGAATTGAGCATTTAATTTCAAAAATCATTTTCACTTTTTCTTCTGGTTTTTTCTAAATCGAGTGAGCTATAGGTTATATAAATTTTTAGCGAGGGTACCATTGAAATCGTCTTGATGAGACGAAGCGAATGTCACCGGTCTGAGCTTCTAGCTTTATAGTTTGAAGGACCTGCAATTCGTGTGTGGCTGGAGGTTGAAGATGATGACATGTCTCATCCAGCCAATGAGAGTGTGCCTTTTGTTATATTTTGATTTGTCCATTTGAACGTGTTTGGATGCTTTTAATGCAATAATTCCCATGATACACATGCGCTATAGACCATTTGATGTGATTACTATGCATAGTCAACTCAAACCTAACGCACCACATTGTTTTGGTTTTGGTTTTATTTTCTTATTTTTGTTTTAATTGTTTTAAACTTCAAAAGTTCATAAAAGATTCATCTCAACTCTTAAAATTGTGAAAAATTATCAAAAATACTTTTGTTTTTTCTCTTTCTGATTTTTATTTTTTTACAATTTTATTTTGTGATTTGGTTTTTTTTTATTTTCCACTTTATTTGACTTGTTTTAATTTCTTAAAATTACTTTTCTTGATTTTAAAATTCTGAAAAAATTATGGAAGGATCCAATGACATTCTTTAAAATATTTGTGACCTCATTTTATTTTTGATTTTACTATTTATCATAAATTTTGGTTTATTTTGTTTATTTCTTTATATTTTTAAAATAATTTCTGACTTTAAAAAATTTTAAAAAAATTTTTTAACACTTGTTGACTCATGTTTGACTTTTGATATTTTTATTTGGTGTTTTAATGCATGTTGTGTATTTTACTAATTAGTTCATTATTAAATCATTCAAGTATGTGGTTTGGGTTTTATTAATATGGTCTGGAATTCTATTTTGTTAATTCATTTTAGCTCTAAAGTGGGTGACTCTATTCATTATTTCAATTGTAACGACTTTTTCACTCTTTATGCATTTGTAGATATATAATAAAATTGGAATCAACCCACAAGAGAAAAAGATAAGCTGGGAACCGTGAATGAAGTAAACAAGATAAATCCAATAGTAAGAAAATATTCATTAAAATTTAAATTGAACAAACTGAGATCAAATCAACAAGCAGAAGTTGATTCAACAAACTATTACTAATAATAATACCAACAAAAACAAAAGATCCCTAACCCCCAAACCCGTAAAGGGTCCTTCCTTGCCTCTTGAGTGCATAAACAACATCCATAGCAGTCACTGTTTTACGGCGAGCGTGTTCAGTGTAAGTGACAGCATCACGGATAACATTCTCGAGAAAGATCTTGAGAACACCGCGAGTCTCTTCATAGATCAAACCACTTATACGCTTCACACCACCACGTCTAGCAAGACGACGAATAGCAGGTTTGGTGATTCCTTGAATGTTATCTCTCAGAACTTTGCGATGACGCTTTGCTCCACCCTTTCCCAAACCCTTTCCTCCCTTGCCTCTTCCAGACATCGCTGATTGAATGCAAGATTTCTTAGAATTAACGATGAGTGGGTGTTGTTGTTTTGTAGGAATATGCAAGAGGGTTTATATATAGAATTTGAGATGATAAATGCATTGCCGTTGGATTGGATGGTTATCCTTGTGAAAGATCTATTTGAAGATATCAACCGTTGGATTATAAATGATTTGAAGAGAAGTGAGATTGGGTATAACGCGGATCGCCAGGCTGGCTGGGTTGCAATTTGGTGGACTGGTAGTACTACTGTTAATTTGTAGTAATTATTACCGCTCAATTTTTTTTTGTCCGGATCTTGATAGTTTTAATTTGATAATTTACATTTTTTATATTTTTTTTTTTACTTTTATCTTTTACATCATCTTCTTTTTTTTCACTTAATAATTTAACAATTATTTAATTTTTATTCACTGCAATAATTTTATTTAATAAAATTGAATACTTTACTCCACTACTTTTATTTTCTTTTATATTTTTGTTTATATAATTTTATATTAATATTAATTATCGATTAAAATAGTTAAGAGTTAAATAATTTTTTTTTACTTTTTTTCTAATTTAATAATTTATTCGAATTTTTTCCAATTTTATATTTTTAATTTATTTAAATTTTTTCTAATTTTATAGAAAAAGTCATTATTAAAACAAATAAAAGTGGACAAAACAATAATTTATTAGAGGTTAAATAGAAAAAATAGAGAAAAAATAGATTTTTTTGTGTGTCCAAATCAAATGAACCAAATCTCTATTTATAGACCCAAAAAAATGATGAATTTTATGAAAATAAAAATAAATAAAAAATTGATTTATTATAAAATAATTGATTCTAAGTAATTAAGGTGAATTAAAAATCTAAACAATCACAACAACCAATGAACCAATAATTAAGGTGAAGTTATCAATACCATGGAATTGATAAGTGTTCTTAGTCTATACTTTTCATCACTTGTATTATGGTCAAAGATACTTAAGAAATTTCTCAAGTCCACTCATAAAAGCACATCTATATGTGTTCGGAAAAAAATGTGTTCAGATATGAGGCTGATCAAGAAGAAGATTCTCAAGTCTCTACTCTAGAGGTTTGACATAAAAGTGACAAGCCATTGAAGAAAGACAAGAGCAATTTATTTTTGCTTTCAACTCTGTAGAAGCTTGTGTTCTAGACCCTAATAAAGGTTTTCTTATTGCTATCGTGTTTCTTAGAAGACAATCCAAGGAACATATTGGTATTTCGTGTGGAACAGTTTGCTCTACCTATCTCAAGGAGAAAATGTGTGGATTTTCCAACTCTTGGTTTAATTAGGAAATTATTCCTAATTATGCATGTGCTAAGGATGTTACTGGTTTGACTGGAAGATGGACTTCTTATGAAGATTTTTGCATTGAAGAATTATCTTGTGATATGATGGATATTTTTATTCAAAGATATATGCATCTAGAATAAAAAGGGTTGTCAGCCATGAAAAAAATAAGAGGTGGTTTATTTTTTATCTTATGTTTTAAGAGAATGAAGGATTGTCTATCATTTGTGATTTATAAGGTGACGTGACTTTATGATTCTTAAAAACTTGATATTTAGATCAAGTATATAAGGATATGTTCAGAATAATTATGAGGTTTCTTCTAGAGGAAAGATGATTGGAAGGGATTGGGTTTTCAAGTTATTATTAGCAAAGAGATAACTCAAGTGACAAAAGGTTGTTTTTATCAAAAGGTGAGCTGAGTCAAGAATGTCAATCTTAATGTCTTAACATTGTACTAGACATCAGGTTACTCGTGCTAAAGGGTATACTTGTATTGAAGATATCTCTTATGTGGAAAGTTGATCTTAACAGTTTTGATTACTTTCTCAAAGGTCAAGTTCAGTATTGTTTAATCAAATAGTGGTTAATACTCAGAGAAGGTGATAATTACCTTATCTCCCATACCTTTCTTAGATCTTTAACTAAGATGATTGGTATTTTGACACTAATTGTCCCAGACACGTAATTGCAGTAAAAGTGTTCCTGGTGGTTTGTCTAAGTCTCATTCTAATCAACTATTACTTTGTTGTTGATACAAAAAGGGAAGTTTAAGGACGTTGAGTATCTAAAGAATGTAGGATGAAAGATCTAGGTTTTGTTAAGTGGTCTTCTTACTAAAGGGAAATTGGCTTTGTGTGATCAAGGTCTAAAGGTGTATGTCATCAAGGAATAATGTTGTTCTCTAATGAGATGTTTGGAGTTCTTTGAGGATTTAAAAACAATTGCAAGTTGGGGAATCCACAAGTATTTAATTGTTTATCCTTTTACTTGGTGTTAAAGATAAAGTAAGTCAAAGATGTCACACCAGAAGGTGCAACATAAGACAATTGCATAAATTCTAGAACATGTTCTATGGTTGTTTAGTTCAATGCAGGGTGGGTATCCTGGAGGATAGATACATTTATATGATTTTCTTTTGTGATCTATAAGCAGAGTAAATCAGTTATCTATGAAGTCTTCAAAGGTTCTTATTTTTTTCTTGAATGAGAATAAGGTATGTTTCTGATTTACTCTATTGAAGTACTTTTAGTAAGGTTATCAGGACAAGAATCAGTGATGTGTTCATTGAGAAAGAAACTGATGTTCAATCAGATGTTGGAACATCATTTAAGCTGTTTGATACTCTAAAGATTATGGAAAATTCTAAAAGGCTAGGATGCACTAAATAAGAAGGCTCTCAAGAAAACAAAGTGTTTAAGAAGGAGTTTATTATTTGGAGTGTATTTTGGTCTGTCGTCATTGGTTGTTTCAAAGATTAAATATACAATGATTGTGAGTCTTAGAGTAAAAAGCTTTTGGCCAAGTCTGAAGAAGTTTGTATTTTTAGAGGATATTATGATCTCCTAGATTAGAATTAATTGAATCCTGATATATTCTGAAGATTAGGTACATTGCTGAAGAAAAATGGGTTTCAATTGGGTTGGTTATTAAGAAAGTACAATGCCAACCTGAATGCCATGACATTGCAATATGACAAGCCAATACAATCAAGATACTCAAGGATTTTGTTTATTTATAAAATAAAGTCATGGGTTTAAGTCAACATTGTGTCAAGGGTTTTGTTACAAGCAAGGTTTGGCACTCCTAAACTTGGTATGTCTGAGAAGATCTAGGAAGTATTCTCATGACTTAAGGTGCAAGTTACATTGATAATATGAGGGGTATTTTGGAATTTCACCACTGAAGAATTCTTGCGACCGAGAGATCAGATAAGAGAGTTTTTCATGCAAGAGGAAGGTATTAACACCCCACACGCTCATAGTACTCTACGGTATCCACTCTTGTTATCTATCTTGTGGGTGTGTTTAATCTATGTATACTGCTTATTGCTGAAGAAGAATGCATGTAAAAGAAATGATAAAATAATATAGGGAAAATAAAGTTGTGCTCACTTGGGCCCTACCCCATTGCCTACGTATTCTTTTTGAGGAAAAAGAGTTACCGTAGTTCGGCTCACATGTTTTTGTTTGTTTTGTGTTTTTTATGAACAATGTTAATTCCACCTTCTGTCGCAGCTCGACCTTTGGAGACTCACGCGTTGGCACAAAAGTAAATTAACATGTCCTTACCTGAAAATGGTTTACACCCTCAAGGCTAGATGCCACATTTGATTGGTTTGTGGTTTTTCACCTTGAAAAAAGGGTTTAAGTGTGATTAGCATGTTTTGTGATTTGCCAAGAAAAATAGAGTTTTTGTTTTAATGCATATGCAAAAGGGGAAGAAAAGAGTCTACAGGAGACTAGCCTATTTTTAATCCTAATGTTATTATACAATGGTGGTCCTAAAGTTTGGATTAAAAAAATGGAAACGTTTACCTAATGTTAGCATGCATGGTTTGCAACCTAAGATCTAACGTTCATCCGAGAGGAACAATCACATCCTAAGGAAACATGGTATAGAAAGCGAGTGAGCAAACAAGTTCGAATAAGCACACACATAAAATGGTAAAGAAAAGAAGCGAAGTGCTTTAGTTAAAGGGAATAGATCACCCGAGACAAACAAGCGAGAGTGAAATATAAAAGAAGAGAAATGCTTTAGCTAAGGGGAGCGAATCACCCGAAGCAAACAAGCAGGAATGAGATGAAAAACAAAAATGTGACGTCCAAAGAGAGTGAACACCTAACCAAGATATAAAATATCGAGGTAGGCAACATAAGGAAATATGAACAATCACAGAGCATTAGCATCAGACAATGCGAACTCTTGACAAAATGTGGGGGTTTGATTGCAAAACTCTTTTCCATTTGACGACTCGATAACAAGAGTAGGCACAACTCCGAAGCATCGTGGTGCGTCACGAGCTAAGGATGACACCGACAAAATTGAGGGGGTTGATTACGAACCCTTTCCGCTCGCCTTATTTTTAGGGCTTCAACAAGGGATGGGGGAATAATGCAGGCACAAATGTAAACACACGTGTGAAATATCTACTTTAAAAGTGGGGTTTTAAACAAACACATATAGCATACATAATGCACATAATGCAGAATTGCCCTAAACGGGTCTTTAAATAAACCAGAGGGATTCCTGACATGATCAGCAACGGAGATCCCCATCATACATATTCTAGCCCTACTTCTCATGGCAAGTAAAATAGTAAAGAGATGCGATAATATGTGGAAAAATATAAAAGCAATAGCGGCGACTACCAAAAGCAAGTGAATTGTCGAAAGCAGACGAAAGTAATGGATAAGCAGGGAGTACGCGTCGAGTAAGCTTCACCAAGAACACAAACAAATTCAGAAACGATATCCAACTAAGATGAAAGCAAATGCATGTTGCGAATGCAACGAGTAATAAAAAATTCTTGCACAAAGCATCACAAAATATCACATGTATTGGGACAACATATAATATGATATGAATTTCTCAAGACGATGAGAAATTAGGTGTGTCGCATCGGAAGCGAGCATAAGCCGCATGCTTCAATCACATAACAACTTGTTATGTTACATGATCGAAAGCACAAAAAATATACGTTGCGCAAAGAACAAACGCGTCAGAAATAACAAGGAACAACAGTATAAAAATATGAATAAAAACTAAAGGAAAAATATTTTTTATTAGTTTTATGTGAAGAAAATTCCATCAAAAACTAAAGAATTTATTCCTAAAATCAACTAAGAACTTTTAACAAATTTTATTTATTCTTTACAATTTTATCATAACAAAAAAAGGAAAAAAGGAAAAGAAAGACCTAAATTCTACATATCATTTTTTGTCCTTTTATCATTAAATTTTTGTTAAGAAAGTTTTAATTTTGTTAAGAAAGTTTTAAAGAAAATTTAAACTAAAAAAGAAAAAATTAAAACAATTAGAAAGAGTCAAGGGTGAAAAATGAAATCCAGCGGGTGTGGTAGAAATCAAGGCGCTAGGCCCATTCAACGGGGTCCAATGCTGTTTTTGTTTTGTTCAATTGGATTTTAAACAAATTAAAAATGGGCCTAGGGTAATGCATTTCGGACCAGAAGTATGAATTCAACAAGCAGTTTTTTTGGCTCATAAGCATCATGTATTAAAAAAATCAGAATTGGGCCTTAAAAGGTTCTGATTTCGGTCCAGTAACAGAGAATTTTTTGTTGCACTTGGCTTCAACATGCCAAAAATGAAAGTAGTGTATGGGCCTATATGGGATATGGCGCTAGCAACTCAATTTTAAGCCTAGGATGGTATTAGCAAATCAAGCCCATTATTATCAAAAGTCCAATTCTAATTTATTGTTTCATCTAAAAAAATAAAACAATAAAAGAAAAATGCAAAGAGGACTTAGGGTTCCTGAATAGTGACTATGAGAACACAAGCCCTCTTCTCCCTCGATTAGACTCCACGACAGCGGCTTCTTCTCCTACTTTGATCAATCATCGCAGTGTTGCCGTGCTTTCTTCTTCACCTGTTTATATTCTTCTTTTTTCACAACAACAACAAAAAACTTACCCTCTCTTCTTCGCCTTAAACTTAATTGTGCTTCCTCTCTCTCATGGCCTCTCTCTATTACACTCCCTTCACCATCGAACAACAACAATGATACCTCCCCTATTTGTGTCTTTCTCACAGGAGTCAACAACAGCACAATTATCAAACTCACGTTCTCACGTGATTTCACCTCTCATCTTCTATTCGTGAAACTCTCTTAGTTCCGTTTGAGACCAAGATGGTCCTAAATCACTCTCTAAACTGAGATTTTCAAGTATAGTCTAAGCGGCAATGATGAAGATTCGTTATCTCTGAATATTAAGGCTAAGATTCGGCAGGCAGAAATGACAAATTTGATGCGAGGAGATGATAGAGATTGTAGACTTACCTGCCAGAGTCGTATGGCACGTCTTTGACGGTGTTACAATGACGAGAAGTCTAAAGATAACTCGGGTAAATCTTTCACTCTATCCTTCTTATATCTTCTTCTTTCGGTGATTTTGAGTTTCCTGGTTATGTATGCTTCTCCTTCTACCTTTCTGCGTTATTATGTATTATGCATCGACGAGTAACACGAAATGTAGTAGTCCACGGTGGAGCGGCATGAGATTGAAGAAGGTGATGGCGAAGAGTGTGTGAGGCTGAGGGAGTTCTCAAGAGTTACCGAGGACTGAGATATGGTAGCAGAGGTGTTCGGAGGGAGATTGCAGGGATGGAGGAAGAAAGGTGATGGAGATGGAGGAGGTAGAGAGTTGCAGAGAAGCATGTGGATGATGTGAGGATGGTGAATTGATGAAGAAAAGGGAGAAAATTCTGAAACTGAAAAATGAAGAGTGGTGCGTAAGTTTCTGAGATGTGTGAAAAAAATGGCGGAGAGAGGGATGACGATGGAGGTTAAGTGGTTTATATAGGTTGATGGAGATGCAGGTTACGATTACAGAGGGAAGATCTGAGTCACTGGATTAAGACTAGTTTGTTAGGAAATTGATGGAAACAGTTAGTTAGCCCTGTTTAGAAAAACAGTTGGAGGTTAGTTAGATGGAAACTATTAGCTAGTTTTTTCTGTTATAGGTAGTTAGAAGCAGTTAGGAATTGGCTGACTTAGTTTGAATAAGTGATAGTTAGAATGTTGGAAACTGTTATGGACAATTAGTATGAGCTGGCAAATTAGTTTCGAAACTGAGTTTGGATTTTTGCTGTACTTTCTTCTGATTTTTATTTATAAAAACCTCCCTCTGATATTTTCTTCTGAATTCTGAGTTTGATACTAATATGTTGAGTTGCGATCTCTCTGACTTGATTCTCTGCTTTTTCTATTTCCGACTTCCTGGTTTTGATAATGTCTGAATCGGTTTGGGTTTTCACTGTTAACACAGGTTTTCAGTTCATAATTCTTGGAGATATTTTATGTTGTAGACGTCTGACTTGGTGCTGATTTGGTTTTGTTTTTGTGCAGGGCTGCCGTGGCTTGGTTCAGTTTTGTGCAAGGAGGAAATTAAAGCATGAATTTAGACAAATTAGCTTGTATTGTTCTTACTTGTTTATGATTCCGATTGATGATGTAATGACATTGGATATTGAAACTTGATCTTGAACGAATGCATTGGTTTTTGGAGGATATGTGCAGCTTAGGAAATAGCTATACGGAGTATAATGCAAAGATGCGGCCTCGATAACAAGTCTTGAAGAAAAAGATCACGAGAAAATTGGCCAAAGACAATTTTTAGGATGTAATAGAACTTGAAATCTTTTGTAATGTTTTTTCATTGTATTTTGTATGAATTGGTTACATTGAGAAAAAATGGTGCATTTGAATATGCTTTGTAATGGAGATATGGTTGAGCGGTTATGTACTCTTGTAGCTTTGATCCACTTGAATGAAATAAAATTTCTCTCCTCATTTTACTTTCAAATTCGACTCTTCTTTTGACTTAATGTACCCAATAATCAAAAGCTCATATCATAAGCGAGAACGGGAATAACCAAAACCCAAGTATGTCTCCTAGTCAATAAGTATTTGAAATTGAATCCAATAAATTTAACTTGAATCATAAGTAAATGAGTATTGAAAGTGATAACCTGAACCATGCCTTGAATGACCTAGGATATGTTGAATCCCTAATACATTAACCCTTGTATCAGTGTTTACTCTCCATAAAAATGCATTCAAAACCAACTTGCATTCTATGCTCGCATCTCATTAGAAACCTCAATCTCACGATTGAATTTGCAATTATAATGCCTTAATTGTTGAGCAACAAGACCTTCAAACAAATTATCTTGGATCGTGACGTAGATAACCCTAATTGATTTACTGGTGAATAGATGAATCCAATGTAACAATGTCATGGTCATTAACCTTGACCAAATGATAAGCACACTCATATGAGGTGATGTAGTGATTCAAAGACCGTGTCTGCTAGATCACACCCTTGATTTCTTGACAATAAAGCCCTGCAACTTGATGAAGATGACAACCTTGTGGCTTAATGAGAGAAAGAAATTCTCAATGATCATGAACGCAAAACTCTAGCTTCAAACTCTGATTGTTGAATAAACCTGTTTATTCAAGCTTGAATGAAGATGAGAGCCTCAAAACACAAATAAACCCTAATTCCTCAATATCCTCGATCCCGTGCCAAATTATTGACTAATGATGTATGACGTGCAAAATGACCTAATGGAAGGTATGCAGATGAAATGAGAAGTGCAGAATGCATAAGCCCGATAAAAATGAAAGGGTAGGACAAATTTGGGATATTACACTAGTCATAAAAATAAGGCAAAGTGAAAGGATAAAATTGAGTTGGTTTAAGAAACCAATTACAGGCCCAAGATTTAGTGAGCAGCCAATTATCATACTAGAAGTTGGAGAGAAGTCAGGTTCAAAAGACTCCAATCTAGGAGTGAAAACAAGGTTTATGAAGACATGAAAGACCAAAAAAATGATAGATTAAGTATTATGTTATCTTGTAATAAACCTAAGAACTATATGTGCCTTTTGTATTAGTGTGTGCTTGTTTCAAATTGTAATGTTGTAATAGACCTATGAACTATATGTGCCTTTTGTGTCATTTTGATAATGTTGTAAAAGACACATGCACCAAGAGTGTTTTTGTTAATCTAACTTATTTCAACTATGTTGTCAAGATTTTATGTAAAATTACTTCATTGAACATAACTTGAACTAAATTGCATCAATTCTAAATGAAATAGAAAACATAAATTAAACTTTCATTCAATTCAAACTGGTTTGTCTTACAATTACAATTGAAAAGGACAACAAAACTTTGGCTTTAATTCAACACAAACTGATATGTCTTACAATTACAATCCATGGCAGACTAAGTATCAAATACAATTTGAAAACATAACAACTACTTAAAATTATACACAACTGCAAAAATCATCCATGATAGAACAATTACAATCATCATCTAGAAATTCTGTCTTTTTCAATACAACCTTTTCTCTTCAATTTTTCTAGCTTGTTTGACCTCCCTTCTGCTCCCCATTTTTTTACCTACTTTGCTATCAATCTCCTCAACGATCTCCTTTGCAAATTTTCTAAAATAACCCTTGTTCGTGTCACATTCGCAGCATCTGGATGAATTCACTTCAACCTCGCTAACCATATTGTCCCAGACAAACAATCTGCAACCATTATGCAATTTTAATCAATATTAACACACAAATAACCAAAAAATTTAATATAAAAGGAATTTCAACCTTGTAAACAACTCACCATGGAATTTCTACATTTTTAGAATTTTCTGCTTGGATTTTCGAGGGTGTTAGATACCCACAACTTCATGGTTTCGTTGCACCCACATCTTGGCGGACCCTTACCCAGATTACTCGTCGATGAACACTTGCTTCCTGTAACACCCCTTCTAAATAACCCGCGAATATATTAATTAAATCAGAGTAACATGAAAAACAGGGATGTCACAATTCAAGATAAATATAAAAACCTCAAATCTACAGTTGTCATGCTTTACTGAAGGAATTATTAAGATAAATATTCAAATCAATATCATGTTCTACACAACGGAAATGTCTCAAAACCGGAATAACTTCACTTCATAAGTATTCCCAACATAAATTAAACAATAGAGTATAAAATAAAACTCATCATTCAAACGTTTCCCCCAGTGTTACAACCTATCAGAGCACGACACTGACACACGGACTTAAAGTAACATAGCTCTAGAGCCATCCTCACCAACTCCTGAGCTGCTAAATTTAATCTGAAATCATTAAAGTAAGGGTGAGATTTCTCATAATTAACATGCATTATAAGTTTCTCAATCAACATTATATCACAAGCACATTATTTCACCCATTTTAGCATAATTTCAGATTCAACACACGATTCCAATCACACAAGTCATTATGCACAAATCAATAATCAACCAAAGAATTGTAACACTGGAAGACATCCTAACATGTTACAATTCCATGCAAACACAAATGCAGACACAATGCATGTGGTACCAACACATGACTAAGTCACCCAACACTGATCCATCATCAAACAGATACAGCAACCATCGATTCGTCCATAAACACCGGACACGAATCCAACCGAAGCAATCATCGATTCGTCCATAAACACCCGGACACGAATCCAGCCTAACCACCCATCATCACCCGGGTATCGGTTAACGGCAATACAAGTCAAATTCCACACAATGGGAATTAACTTCACCAAAACAATGCATATGCATGCACATCACCAGCATGCAACATCAAATCAGTCTATGAAATACATCAATTTATCATAACTGAACCAAAACCAAAAGAAACATGATATCATTATCTATCATACACACATCAAACAGCATAAACATGCACTTCATCCACAAGGACCTGATACAATCAATTATCATGGATACACCATTGCATATACACCAAATATGCACATAATAACAAACCGCATAATCGGAAAATCAACATCAAATCAACGGAATATGATCACAACATAATTCCAAATAATTCCAAAACCAATATATCACATGATCACATCTAAATCATAATGGATAGCAGGCACAACACATAAGTATCAGTTCTCATTCACCAAATCAGAACAATTTACAAACAATTCTACATCATTCTCAAAATACCAAAGTTTACAAAAATCGGGAATTCGACTCTTTTTGAAATAGTTTTCATAAAATAATATTTTTCTTATTTTATAAGATAGAATTTTAAATTTAAGAAATACTGCCGAAAACGGCACTCAAATCGGACTTACGGTTTGAAAGTTATGAATTTTCAAAGTTTAATATTTTTCAAAAAGTTACGTTTCTGGAAAATGTACTGGAACCCGGTTCCTACCTATACAGGAACCGGTTCCTGCGACCAATTTTACAAGTTTTTGTACGTTCACACAGTGGAACCCGGTTCCTCCCCACTGGGAACCGGTTCCCACGACCTGCAGAGTCAAAATCTGCTATTTTGACAGCATTACTCATTCCAATCCCATCCAATTCATACCCATACGAATTATAACATTTGGAACACCAAAATGCAACCAATACACATCAATACAACATCATAAATCATGTTTCCATCATTCCTATTAATTATTCATCACATTAATGGTTCCAATTCCTATACTCTGACACAATTAGAGATAATCCCACAAACCTAGAATTCCAAAATCGAGATTCCTAACATGCTTAATCAATTCTATTGATCTCAAAATCTATAAGGCATATTAAATAATTGAAATCACCCCTTACCTCGCGATGATCCTTCGAATTCACGGCGTTTGGCTTTTTCCTCTCTTCTCTTCTCTTCTCCAATTTCACGTACAATGGTTTTCTCCCAATAACCTTCTTTTTCTTTTCCTTTTATTCTTCTTTTTATATTCCTTTTATTATTTACCAAATAATAGAAATAAATTAGTCATTATTTAGTAGAGCTTTTACTTCACACACCTCTAATTCAACCTTACACCCCCCGGTCTTCCTTTTTAATTTCATAATTAATTCATCCATTTAATCCAAAATATTATTAATTAAGCCTTTAATTAATTTAATAATTAAATTCCTAATTATTTAACACTTGAATAAATTTGGAGTGTCACAACTCTCCCCAACTAAAAGAGTTTTCGTCCTCGAAAACATACCTTAGACGAACAGTTCGGGATACGAGTCCTTCATATGGCTCTCCAGCTCCCAAGTGACATTTCCATCTGCTGGTCCTCCCCAAGCCACTCTTACCAACGCGATCTCCTTGCCTTGCAACTGTTTCAACTTCCGATCCTCAATTCTCACAGGTACCGCTTCCACAGTCAAATTCTCTTGTACCTGTATATCGTCTACCCGAATCTCATGAGACGGATCAACAATGTATTTCCTTAGCTGAGATACATGAAAAACATCATGCAAATTTGCAAGTGACGGCGGCAAAGCAATCTGATAAACAACTTTCCCAACTCTCTTGGTAATCTGAAACGGACCAATAAAACGTGGAGTCAACTTCTTTGACTTCAAAGCTCGACCAATACCAGTCATCGGAGTAACTCGCATAAAAACATGTTCTCCTTCGCTAAACTCAAGATCTTTCCTCCTCTTATCG